CCCGGTAGCCGTCCTCAGTAGCTATCAATTAGCAAAGTGTATTTGGGCATGGCAATTTAGAAAGCTTCAGCAGCATGATGCATTCGTTTTGTTGGCATTCACTAGTTGCTCGCTGTACTTTGGGTGGGGAAATGTTTCGCAATTAGGTTTTCCTTGGAAGCACATCTGCAGCGCCCATAAGTGATAGGATCTCAAATTCTGAGTAGCGATTGCCTTGAACTGATCAGCATTTGGTGATTGAGGCTGCAGGTTTGACTTGAAACCGCCAGGAGCGAACAATCTGGGGCTGCATCTGCTGAATATGTCAGCTCCTTTATAGGATCTGCGCAGCAATTCCCTTCAAAAAAGGTTGAAAGGAGGGATGCCCTTCAGAATACCATGTGCCAAAGATCTGTCTTGGTCAGAACCATTTATTGCTTGAGATAGTGCAAGGCTATCAGTTTCAACAATAGCTGGCTGGTTGATCCATTGAGCCGTTAGCTGAAATCCTTCTATGCACGCCCCCATCTCAGTTTACAGAATGCTTGCACATTAGGAATATACCTCAGGCTGACAGCACAGCATGTCGCAAATTGTTAGATCAAACTGGCATCCACATTCATTTTTGACCTGGCCAACTTGTGGAGGTTCCAGGATCAAATGTGTATCAGAAGTGCCCTAACTTAGGTTAGGCTCCTCAATAGCCATCATGCCAAGGTTCCATTTACCCTTCAGATCATGCATTTGGCTTGCTTGCTGAATACCACATACAGAATGAACATAGCTTTCTAGAAATTGCACTGATTCAGCAATCGGTGTATTACCCTTGCTACACACAACATCATTTCAGTGATGGCAAGCTTTCCAGAATAAGAACATTAGTTTTAAAAAGCACTAGGCCTTAATTGTGCGTTTTGCCACTGCCTTGCGCTTTTCTGACCAAAGTGCACGAGGATGCGCAGATTAAGCGCTAGGCGTGTTGCTATCTCCTAGAGCTTGTAGCCCTGTACGCACTTAAGCGCCCGCCTAGGCATGCCTTTTTTAACTATAATTATTGCTCTATACTGTCATCAACTGAGTCTAGAAGATGGCGTGACCAGTCAGGGCCAGATGTGTACTGTATCCCTTTGGCTGGAATTGCTGGGAATGTGACACTGACCAGGCCACAAGAGCTCAACCACCTGGACCGGATCACAAGGACATACAATGCACGCGGTCACCATGTTCTTTGTGCGCGCTGTGATCGACTGTTATTTGATATTCTGTTGTAACGTGGAAATAGCACTAGCTCCCTTGACTGTGTATATAAGCACATCTTGTACATCAATACAATCATCAGTGAGAAGCTTATCAATCTCTCTTGGCACAAGAGCCCAAGTTCTATCCTCCTGCTTCCGCTATGAGCTCCCGGCGTGGTCACCGCCACTCCTGCTCCCTTGGCGAAGATGACGTCGTCTTTTCAATCCACCTCGCGTCAAGCCTGTCACTGCTCCCCTTGTCTCCACCCTAGTACTTCCTCTAGTAGTCAGCGCCAGCAGGTGTCCAGCGGGCATCCCTGTCCGTGAGCTGCGCAGCACCGCCAATACCATCTCCCTCTCCAACATGGCCTTGCCTTCCTAGGCTCCCGTTGCACCTACTCTGTACATGCAACAATACCCCCTTGGCGCGCTCTCGATCAGTGAGCGCGATCAACTCGAGTAGAAAGTGGGCCGGGCCTGAACAAAGCTCAGGAACGACACCTTTGCACAGGAAGTACAGTGTCCATCACCTAGAAGCGTCGGCTCAGTCCACGGAGCTGCAGGGTGTGAGCGCGGTCGGAGACGGGCTCCTCCACATCGTCTAGGGCGTCTGCCAAGTGGGCGGCGATGGTCATGTCGCCTTGGACCGTAGGATGGAACTCAGGCCGAGGTGGACGGTCCGGCTGCGCTGTCGCAGAAGTGTGCGGCTGGTTGCAGTCCGGGGACATGATCACATTGTACTGTCATCAAAAAATTGTGGCATAGATCTACAGTAAAATCATGATGTCGTCAATCCACCAGACCATACTCGTGCAGGGGCTCGGACTCCTCCTTGAGGTGATCCTCCACATTGAACTTGTAGAGGACGAAGAAGAACATCTGGCGCCACTTCCAGTAGTTGTTGGTTTCGAGACTGAGCTTGAATGGGATGTAAGAAGTATTGCTGATATGATGCATGGAAGGAGCAGGGACAAGGGGACCTGGGTGAGGAAGCAGCGCCGGCGGGGGGTGAGGGCATTGGAAGTAAGGTGCAACTCACGAATGATGCTAGCTTGGGTAAGTGGTCAGCTGTCGCCAGCAGGACCAGCGATGCCGGTGGCTGGAGTAGGCTGCATTGCCTAGGGGACAGGCGCAGGGGCGACGCGGGGCGGGGTGAAAATGGCGTTGGCGTCCCTGAGCAAGTTGCTGCAACAATGGGTGCGTGGGGCGCTCATGGCGGAAGGTGAGAATGATTTGAACTAGGATGAAAACGGAGTGGTAAATTTCTGGATATTCCACAGAAAAACGGAAACAAAGTGAAAATACGGAAACCAAAACGGAATATTGTGAAATGGAAATTGAAATGGGAAAACGTTTTCCGGTGGAGCATCCATGGAAACGGATCTGTGAGTATGAAACTTTCTGTTTTTACCATGGCGGCCTGGGGCGGGGTGAAGACAACTGTGGCATCCCCAAGCGAGCAGCTGCGACAATGGGTGCGTGGGGCGCTCATGCGGAACGTGAGAAGGATTTGAACTATGACAAAATGAAATGGACACTATCTGGATTTTCCACGAAAAACAGAAACGGAGTGAAATACGGCAACAAAAACGGAATATTGCGAAACAGAAACAAAAATGGAAATGGAGAAGTGTTCTCCGGTGGAATAGCCACGGAAATGGATTCGTGAATATAAAGCTTTCTGTTTTTACCATGGCGACGCGGGGTGGGGTGAAGACGACATTGGCGTCCCCGAACGAGCGGATGCGACAATGGGTGCATGGGGCGCTCATGGCGGAAGGTGGGAAGGATTTGAACTAGGATGAAAACGGAGTGGTAACTTTTCGGATTTTCCATGGAAAAATGGAAACATAGTGAAAATACATAAACCAAAATGGAATATTGTGAAACAAAAATTGAAATGGAAGAACATTTTCCTGTGGAATATCCATGGAAATTGATCCGTGGATATAAAATCTTTTGTATTTACCATGGCGACGCGGGGCAGGGTGAAGTTGGCGTTGGTGTCCCTGAGCGAGCAGCCGCGATAATGGGTGTGTGGGGCGCTCATGGCGGAAGGTGAGAAGAATTTGAACTAGGATGAAAATGGAGTGGAAACTTCCGGATTTTCCAAGAAAAAACGGAAACAAAGTGAAAATACGGAAACAAAAACAGAATGTTGCGAAACGAAAACGGAAGTGGAACAACGTTTTCCGGTGGAACACCCATGGAAACGGATCCGTGAATGTGAAACTTCCTATTTTCACCATGGCGACACGGGGCGGGGTGAAGATGGTGTTGCCGTCCCTGAGTGAGCAGCTGCCACAATGGGTGCTTGGGGCACTCATTGCGGAAGGTGAGAAGGATTTGAACTAGGATGAAAATGGAGTGGAAACTTACCGGATTTTCCACGGGAAAAAGGAAACAAAGTGAAAATATGGAAACCAAAACAGAATTTGTGAAAGGGAAATTGAAATGGAATAGCGTTTTCTGGTGGAACATCGACGAAAACGGATCCTTGAATATGAAATTTTCTGTTTTTACCATGGTGACGCGGGGCATGGTGAAAAGACGACGTTGGCGTCCCCTAGTTAGCGGCTGCGGCAATGGGTGCGTGGGGGCGCTCATGACGGAAGGCGAAAAGGATTTGGACTAGGATTAAAATGGGGTGGAAATTGTCCGGATTTTCCAGAAAGAACGGAAACGGAGTGAAAATACGAAAACAAAAACGAATATTGCGAGATGGAAACGGAAACGGAAATGGAACAGCATTTTCCGGTGGAACAGCCATGGAAACGGATCCGTGAATATGAATCTTTCTGTTTTTGCCATGGTGACGCGGGTTGGGGTGAAGGTGGCATTGGCATCCCCGAGCGAGCGGCTGCGAGAAAGGGTGCGTGGGGCGCTCATGGCGGACAGTGGGAAGGATTTGAACTAGGATGAAAATGGAGTGGGAACTTCCCGGATTTTCCGTGGTAAAACGGAAAGAGTGAAAATACTGAAACGAAAACAGAATATTGCAAAAGGAAATTGAAATGGAACAGCGTTTTCCGGTGGAACAGCCACGGAAGCAGATTCGTGAATACGAAACTTTCTGTTTTTACCATGTCTACTATGTGGCTCAGTCCAGCACTCAATAAAACTCACGTTGTGGCCAATAATGGCAACACTAATATCTAATAGAATCCTCACCCATCCTCACTATTGTCCAGGAGCCTCTGTTTGGCGCGGCTGGTTTATGAGTTATACCACCGGCTTAGGAGTCACCAAAAGTTGTTGTGGTCATATCAATTGAAATAGTTTGCTTGTGATTTTCTCAATTGTTAAAGGGGTCTTTTGGTTCCGGCGAACATCTGGTTTTGTATCTGCTGTACACCGTATTTGATTTGTATCTGTTTCCAGTAGTATTTATCTCCCTATTCATTTCCTAGGTTTTTGCATTCGTTATGAAAATAAATGTGGCAGCACTCAGTTCCTTCTGTTTCCGCTCCGTTTCCATCCATATTTGAACATGCGACTGATACCAAGTTAGATGGGGGGAATTCTCTATTTATTGCATTGACCAACACGGGTGTGCTTATGTACACTTGAGAGGTACATGAGGATTACACGTTACAACGGAAACACAGATGAGTGCCGATCATGGCACGCGTGGGAGCGTGGGCGAGTGTGTGCACCTGTACGCCGTGGGAACCGGTCCTGGAGGTTGGCCTCCCAAGAGTGAGTCTGTAACGGGTTTCTAACATTTAATCACTTGACCCTTCTTGTGCCACTCTTTTAACCCAAAAAATCTAAACTTGCCAGTCTGTTAAGTAAAATTGTATGACAAGCCACACGGGTAGTATATCAGAACTATTATCTTGTTCTGTGTGTGATAGCTAACAGCCTTTTAATGACGAGCATTCATCTGTACTAAGGTTGAATATTGGTGTAGATGCATACATTTTTTTCAAGGACATCTGCCATGGAGCATTCATTTGTGTATGCGTGTGCTTATAAAACATTTGTGGATGCAACTTCCTGTGGCCATGTAGTGATAAATTCATCAGCCTTTTGCATTTGGGAGTATATAGCCTTCATAAAGCTTACAACATGCTCTAATTTGTGCCACAAATGTGTTCATTTTAACTCAGATTATGAACTGGTAAACATTTTTTTATTACAACATGCTCTAATTTGTGTAACATATGTGTTCATTTTAACTCTCAGATTGTGAATTGGTAAACGGTTTGATTATAACTCTCAAATTTCAGCTACTTGATTGCATCAATGGGACTACAAGCACTCTGGAGCTTGGGACTTGCGTGTCTTGATGGCTATGCTTTGAGAATGAAAAAGGAACTCAACAGTGCTGTTCTCGTGAGCTTATTTGTTGTTGGAGATTGGGTAATTCCTTGATTGTTTGTCAGGATTTTGCATTCTATGTTGCATTGCCTTATTTTCGTCCTACATAAATTACCACAATTTGAAAGCCAAACCAGAACCCTTTAAAGTTCTTTCAATTTCTTTGGCCTTGTTATTTAAATTATTTCATCTTGTATTAAGACATCAATCTAGCCAACTTTATGTTGAGTATTGTAGACTGGTATACTTTCGGCTACAATGCATCTCTGTCACAACCAGCACTCTATGTTGGTGAAGTTGAATCTTGTTTTATTAGTTTCAGTTAATATAGTATACTTTAAGGCCACATCCAGTTAAATAGAACCAATTTGAGGCAGACCTGACAAAAAATTACAAGTGCTTGAAAGTCTTTTTATGAACTGCAATTCAGTTGCAGGAGTTTCATTAGGACCTAGGCCCATCTAGTCACATTCTGCAGTTCACATTAATTTACATTCGGGTCACATGTCTATAAAAACATGTTATGCCTCTGATGTTTCAGCCAGATATTCCTTTGAAAGTACTGAGGCAATCATTCTCTATGATGCAGGTAACGTCGATCCTGTCGTTCGCCGCTTCATGCTCAGCAGGAAGCGTCGTTGTTCTCTTCGACAAGGATGCGTACTTCTGCAGCAGGGACCCGCATCTCCCCTGTGGGACATTTGAGCTTGCGACCGCGTTTGCATTCCTTTCCTGGGCGCTTAGTGCCACATCTGCCCTTGTGATGTTTTGGCTCCTCGCTTCATCTTGATTAGATATGTAGGAGCTCTGTCTGTACCTAGTGTTGTTTGGTCCTGTCTGGTTATATACCGACTGATGTGTCAAGCAGACTACATAGGAATAGACTGCTAATTCCAGAGAATAGATGGGCAATGGTCGCAAGTTCCATGGAGTCTTAAATTTTAGAGCCATGCTTCAGTGTTTCGGGCCAAAGATAACTTGGTTCCTGGTATGGAGTCTTGCTGTTGATTAACTCATTTTGCCCAGTGAACATGGCACACTAGACACTGGTCAAAAATAGAAAAATCGACGCTGGACAACATCATAAAGAGTTGCATATACGAATGTTCTGCTACGTGATTTAATCCAAACAGAAATTGTGACTTAACAACGATTCCGAGAGACAAAACTATCTACCTATTGTCAGGCATTGCAAAAGTCTCTGGGTAATTCAATTTGAAAAGCGTACTGATATCGAACAGCGCTTATCTAAAGAATCCGTGGACAATGACTTGCAACTCCGAAAGTGGTATAATTCCAGTTCTCACCAGTTGCACGATCTCAGGTCTCCCTGGAAATTACAGCGCAAGATGCAACTTTGTCGATTTGCAGAAAAGAAAGAAAGTAACAGGTACAGATTTACACAGCTGCTTTACACATTCAGACTGTTGTGGCCAAACCTAACCCTTTCAGCGATCTATATGGAAAAACAATCTGACCAGTCCCGTCCACAGAATCTGCTGAGTTACAAGAGGTACACAGAGGGACAAGTAGCATGGCCTAGAGCGGTTTACATCTTCTCATCTTTGTGTCTGCTATTGCAGAAGTAAGTCACTTCGACTTGTTGATTGAGATGCCTGCACAAGAACATTCGGACCCACAACCCATCCAGTCGTTGGTCATAAGGAAATTGACAGCTGAAGTCACAAAAGTGCAAAAGCTTCCCAGCACAACAGGATCAGCAAACTAGTGGTCGATACTCGTCCAGATCTCATGATAACACACCAACACCCATTGTAGTAACTGATTTGTCAGCGGCAGAATTGAGCAATGCCCAGCCTACACAAAATTTTCAGAAAGCGGTTTCGGAATGCTGTTCATATCCTTATGCTGCAAGGCTGATAGCGCTAGATAGCATATTATCACAATCAGGAGCTTCATACTCAGCAAAGTTAAAATTCACCTTCAAAGGCATTGTTCTTATTTATCCTTTCTGTGTCATTACACTTTCTGCGAACAGAGAAAATGAAGTAAACAGGCCGACATCCCCACAACGCTATACTAAAGCTGGAAGTGGATCTCAATGGGAAACAACACTGGAAATGACTAATGCACATACATTCTCATCAGTTTAACAAGTCCCGCAAGTTCCACATATATTAAGCTGTTTACAGTATGCACTAGAACAAAGACGCCACACAACATCGTTCCTAAAAGCATTTGTGTGCAGTGAGCTCACATGACGATCTCAGGCTTCAGGATGCTTGACTTGATCTCCTTGTGCGGGAGAACAACACCGCCATTGCTGTAGACCTCGTCACCTACATGTACGTCTTCTCCCAGGATAGTCATGTTCTCTATGCGTGCCCATTGTCCGACCGTTGAATGCCAGCCAATAATGCTGTTTGAGATGCACGCATGCTTCTTAATGCGTACACCACGCATCACCGTGCATCGGGAGAGCCTCACACCATCTTCCACGACGCATCCAGGTCCAATAGCAACATCAGGACCAATCAGGCAACCCTCCCCAATCTTGGCGCTCTCGTGCACCAGGACGTTCCCAACAACATGTGCTCCGGCAGCCAGCTTGGCAGCTGACTTCTTCCTGAGTGAATCTAGATAAAGACGCAAGCCAGTGATGTAGTCCCTTGGCTGACCAATATCCATCCAAAAGCCTGGAAGGACCATGGCGTACAGCTTTTGATCAGCCGCAATTCGAGGAAAGACCTCTTTCTCAATTGAAGTTGGCTTCAATTCGATGCGGTCCAGGACAGATGGATTTAACAGGTAAATTCCTGCATTGATCTTGTTGCCTACAAATATTTTTGGCTTCTCTACAAATCTTTCCACAACTCCAGTTGTGTCCTCCGTAACCACAACACCATATTTCGAAGGTTCATCCACCTATATTTAAGAGGCAGTCAGCTTACATATGAGTTAATTATACACAAGAGAGTGGTAAAAGAAAGGAATTACCTTAGTGACCATAATTGTTGCCTCACCGCCATGGCTCTTGTGAAATTGTATGAGCTCAGCAAATGGGTATTCACTTATGACATCACTGTTGAGGACAAAGAATGGCTCGCCAGATCCATCCACAAGCTTGTCCCTTGCCAGGGCAAGAGGACCAGCAGTTCCCAAGGGTTCAGTCTCCTGGGAGCATGTGATTGTGATGCCAAGCTTATCCTCAAAATCCTTCAAGAAATTAATCATGACCTGAAATAGACAAAGCACAGCAGTTGGACTCCGAAGTTAAATACAGATAACTCCATGAGATGAGAGAACAACAAAGACAAATGATCTCATGTTTTACCTCTGGGCGGTAGTTGATGGCTAAAATAACCTCTGTAACCCCAACATCTTTCAAGGCTTCAATCTGCACAAATTGGTAGGTTTTAATCAATAAATTTTTCTTTCCTCGAATCTGTACAACTTGTTCTGCATTTGTGACAACAAAAGAAGGGGAAATCCTGATGGTGACACACAAAGGTTTTTCCCCAAGCAACCACCAAAGCTAGTAAGGGAATTGATTAACGTTTGCAGGGCGAAAGATTTCTTAGCTCCCATCAGTCTGAACACATTGAAATGCTACCAATGGCAATTGGTTACAAAAGTTAGAGCATCATCTACTCCCTCCGTTCCTAAATATAAGTCTTTTTAGACATATCAAATGGACTACAACATACGGATGTATTTAGACATATTTTAGAGTGTAGATTCACTCACTTTGCTCCGTATGTAGTCGCTTGTTGGAATCTCTAAAAAGACTTATATTTAGGAACGGAGGGAGTACATGACTACTAAGGGTTTGAAGTTTAGCTATTGCTGTTACGGTAAGGCGAATGATGCGCAACACCAGCAGGATTAACTCGCACACAACTCACTGGCTCACAGCACCATAGTACACAATCTCTATCAAGCGCAGCCGCAGCCGTTTGTCTACCTGGTGCAGAATCATGGGCTTGTTGGCGAAATCGACGAGGGGCTTGGGGAAGCTGAGCGTGAGAGGCCGGAGGCGGGTCCCGAAGCCCCCGACGAGGATGAGCGCCTTCATGGCGAGGCGTCCCCCTTCTTCCTCCCCTCTGATCCCTGCAGGCCAGGCACCGTAAACAGAATTAAAATCACACTCACAGTTGCACCGATCTGCGGGGAGCCGGATCAACCGGGAACCGACTGGGAGGGGGAGGGATTGGAGGAGAATCTGAGGGGGGGATGCCTCACCTGGATGAGGAAGGAGCCGACGGGGTCAGATTCGGAAGCAGCGCCGAGCGACCTTGTTTTGGCCGGTCGGTCGCCTGTTTCTTGCCCCCTCGCCAAGACCGGGATGAGAATATGCCAGTGGTATCCCGGGTACCGGACTGCCAAGATGAAGGCCTCGGGGGGTTTGGGTTGGGTTGGCACGAGGAAATACCAGCGTCAGGGTCGCCTTTATATAGGGAAATCCGTCGCAATAGACCACGAGGAGATTATAAGGATCAAATCAAATCAACAGGCGAACCAACCCGTACTTAAATGATTAGGTACACAATGGTATTCTGGCCCACCGGAATTAAATCTTATTGTTCGCATTTATTCTGAATTTATTTCAGAATTTTCGACGATACGCGTTCAGTTGAAAGAAACGTATCATTCAACACTTTTTTTTATGCTCCATTGTCTCATTTCTCGGTTTATGTCTATGTGCATTATGACAAGTTTTATGTCTATACGATACACAATAAGTGAGGAGAGGATAAAATCATATCTTATATGGACATGGTCTCTACGTCACCCATAAAATGATCTTGTAAAATCTGTTGCGGAAATATAAGCATATACAAAAGAGAAAATCGGTGCAATCTTCAACACTCAATAGAGTTGACGTATGGGATGCACAATCTTTTTCTCCAAGATGAATATGGCCATGATTTCAAGCCAAAAGATTAAGTTGTTGTACTGTATGTACACATCTATACTAAATTTAGAAAAATACACAAAAATGTTTAATTTGAAGAACACCCGATTTGAGGGGCCATAATTCATGTCATGCGCGACATCAAGAGAAAGTGAACATGTAATGCAGGAAGATACATGGAATTTATAGATTAAAGGAAGAGGGGAACCCGAGAGCACCAAGTTCCCGTCCGGCAATCAATTAACTAGTTGAGTTGTTGGGTTTGTCTCACTGGATTCACTCCTCCGGTTGCTGGGGAGGATCCCCCCCTGCACAGCGACCATTTTTCCACCGTCTGCTGGATGGCAGGCTGGGGCGATCCCCGTCGATCCGCTTAGTTGTTTTTCATATATAAAAATGTCATAAATCAAAGAAAAACACTTTATTATAAATATTATGAAACAGAAGAAGAAAAACTATTTAAAAAATGCCATGCTATGAATTTATGAAAAAAGCCATCTCTAATATTAGAAATTAATCATGGATGATAGAAAATGTATTTAAACTTGCCATGGTCCTGTAAATTTGACTTGCCATGTCAACAAAAGAAGAAAAATGCCATAATATTAGGAAAAAATGCCATGTACCTAAAATAAGGCATCTCTTAATAATAGAGAAGTCATCTTTTAATATAAAAATATCATCTCTTAATATAAAATGTCATGTCTTAATAATTTAATATGCCATCTCTTTAATACAAAAATGCCATCTCTTAATAATTTAAAATGCCATCTCTTAATTAAAAAACATCATCTCTTAATAATGAAAATGCCATCTCTTTAATATAAAAATGTCATCTCCTAAGATAACTAGAAAAACACCCGTGCGTTGCAACGGGGCCGCATTAACTTAAAGAGTTCAATATTAATATTCTCATACATATCAAGTTACATTGGCGACCTTTTTTACCATCAAATCCTCACACACACACTCTCTCTCCCTCCCTCTTCCTCACTCTCTCTCCCCCTCTCCCTCTCTCTCTCTCTCTCTCCCTAACACACACACATATCCATCTTATTGGATACGGGATCATAATCCATCTATTTTCACATACACGCTAGTGCATAACAATATGGATTATGTGTATTATATTTGCCACCACAACAGAGGGAATTAATTTCATGTAAATCGGCCAGCCACAGCTCCAAGAATACGCGGAGGTGGTGGCCTGGGTCGGCATCGGTGCCGTCCGGCGCGGGTCACGGGCCTGCTTCCAAGTGCGTCTGCACGACGGCCACTCACGCCGGGTCCTTCAAGTGCCGCTTCCATCGCACCAACTCCCAGGGCCACGGCCACGGCCACGGCCAGGGAAGTCGCCCTTCTTCGCCCCCTTCACCGGCCGCGGCCAACGCAGTGCCGCGGCACCCAGCCTCGCCGTCCTCGTCCTCCGGCACCGTCGCGACCCAGTGACGCAGCCCAAGCATCGGTCTCGAGAATCAAGAACGCTCGACAACGGAGACGGGAGGGAAGATCATATACATGTCATAAGAAAGGGAGTATTTACTGCTCTCTCTATGTATTGTTTCCTTTGTTTTGTTTGGAGATTGATTACCATCCGTGAGTTAAGGTAAGGTTAATGTGATTGAGCGATTTTTTTTTCTGAAAATCAAATATTTCCTTTCTAATTAATGTGATTGAGTGATTTAAGGTAAGATTAATTAATCTAGATTTTATTTTTAGAGATTGTTCGTGATTGATTCTACATTACTAAATAATTTGCGCCAGTATGAAAAGTTTTGATCTGTTCAGATTTCTTTCGTTGTGTGAGAGGCTGACGCGAAAATAAACCAATGAGGTGGATGGAGGGGACAAAAAAACCAGCAAAGGTGGGAGGAGGTACCAAAAAAACCATGAAAGATGGGACGAAAATAAACCGTACGAGGTTACCAACTGCTCCATTAGGAGTAGAGAAAATGCCATCTCTTTAAATATAAAAATGTCATCTCATAGTAATTCAAAATGACATCTCTTAATTAAAAATGCCATCTCCTAATAATGAAAATGCCATGCACAAATAACAAAAATTGACTTGTGAAAAAATGTTTAAATTGTTATGTGGCATACTTCACAAAATTATAAACTGCCATGTTAATTTGCTAAAAAATGCCATGTACAGAAAAAGGAGGCCCTGGTGTTCAAACCCATGTCTCCCAAAACGTTCGCTGTCTTTTGTTTTACATCGGCCTTGTTTCCAAATCTCACGTGGCAGCGGCCTTGCGCCAAGATTCGTGCAACGGTGGAAAGAGGGTTCGCTGGACCCTTCCGTTTGTGCCCAAAGCAACAATGCCCTTCTCGTGAATGCCGGCGGTTTATGTTGTTAAGCTCGCTCATGATATTGGTACCGCAATTTGAAGACCACAATGGCCAAAGCTCCGGATGCACGCGCCTTTTTCTTGCATTGTACTCCGCCTCTTATCTTAAATAAAATAAAATAAAAAGGTAAAAAGGAAAAGAAAGCGATTCTTGCTCCAGGTCCAGTTTTTGGCGCACACTTTCCCTGATTCAAGGCACCCTGGAGTTGGAGTGAAACTGAGTTGCAGCGTCGGCCAAGCAGCAGCACCTTTCAACCGGCGAAGCAGTGTCATTGCGTCTGCCAAGTTGACGGATCCCCCGTTACTGTTCTCGAATCGAATGCCTGATGGGTTCGGCGTATTCCACCCGCTGATTCCGCTGCTTATTGCGTCGAGCTCGCGGAACACGGCGTCCTTTTCTGATTCAGGTCAAACCTGAATCCAAGGAACCAGGTCGCTTGCAATCTGGGCCTTGTCTTGCTCTTTGACTGCGACCGACGTCAGCCGGACCGCATGCAGCGTGATTGCTGATACACGATACCCACGGAGGGAAGGAAGAACTGTCGTGTCGGTGCGCTCCTCCCTCCGTTTGAAGGGCCCTCGCCCTCTGCGTTCTCGGTGTCCCCCGGTTCCCGCTCTAAGAGCTAACTTCAAAGCGTTGACTCAAACGGACGGTGCTTTTATCCATTTGAGTCGGTCGTCCATCCGGTATCTGTCATGTTTTAGATTTGAATCGACAGTGCGGCCAACGCGCCGATCTATATGTGTCGGTGTGGCCGACTGGTCGGCCTTTTTCAACAAATAGCTCATTTTTTGCATTGTTTCGGACATAATTTTTGGATTCAAACATATAATCCAGAACCAAATAAATAACATAGTTTCAACCAAATAAAATAGCATAATTTTACAAGCTGAGTAAAAGTAAAAATGTTTCACATAGTTTTGCAAGCCGAATAAAAAAGATGTATCTATTGGTTGCCAACATGAGCCCACATATGCTCAACCAAATCATTTTGCAGTTGCATGTGAGTTTCCCAATCACACAAGTCATGATGAAATTGAATGAACTATTCAAACGTTGCCGCTCCTCCATGCTCACGCACAACATTCTCACCCTGAAACTGAAACTCTTGATCGCAGAGACGTTCCGGGCGCTCATCTTCTACGATCATATTGTGCATTATCACACAAGCAGTCATCACCTCTTACAGCTTATGTGTGCTCCAAGTATTAGCAGGATACCGAATGATGCCCCATCGAGATTGCAAAACACCAAAGGCACGCTCGACGTCCTTCCTGGCACTCTCTTGCTCTTGGACAAATCTTTTTCTTTTCTGTCTGACAGGGTTGGGGATTGTCTTCACAATAGTGGTCCACTGAGGATAGATACCGTCACCTAGATAGTATCCTTTGTCGTAGTTGTGGCCGTTGATAGTAAAGTTCACCGGTGGGTTGTTCCCTTCGGCAAGCCTAGCAAACATCGACAAGTGCTAAAGCACGTTGATATCATTGTGTGATCCGGCCATGCCAAAGAAAGAGTGCCATATCCAAAGATATTGAGACGCCACGGCCTCAAGCATGGCAGTGCAAGCCCTGACATGACCCTTATACTGCCCTTGCCAAGCAGAAGGGCAGTTCTTCCACTCCCAGTGCAGTCTATGCTACCAAGCATCCTTGGGAAGCCCTTGCTGGCATTCATCGCCAACAAACGGGTTGTATCTTCAGGAGTTGGCTCTCTTAAGTACTCATGGCCAAACACAGCAATAACAATCTTGCAGACCTTATAAATGGAGTCTACGCATGTAGGCTCGCTCATACGGACGTACTCGT